GCATATTTTGGGGCAGGTTTGGTATCATACCTGATGAATTTCTTGTTGGACTTGGTGTCAAAGGTCAAAGGCGATGGTGTTGGATTTTGTGTGAGTCGGTACGCATAGGGATCATTGTGTGCAGTGTCTGGCTTGCTGGACCAACCTAACCAAGTGTTGGGACCGTGATTGATTTTGTCAGGTTTAGTACTGCTGCAGTGCAAGTCATTCTATACTGCATAGACCCATCCATATCACATCACTCCAACCTCCAATGGGCTCATTCTGTTGGGGTTTATCAGGTTTGGTACAGTGACCTGCATGTACAAATACATGATTTATAGACAAATATATTGAATTTTTTGGGTTCAGTATGCTCCCTAATGCAAGAGCCTGGGGAGTTAGGGTTTGTTAAAGTCCGCTTTTAGCTTTCCATGAATGCACTTCGGATCGCAAGAAGTGGTAGTTACAAAATGTCCCTAATCACTTCAGAATAAATTTATAGCGTAAAATCGCATACATGTACTACAAAATACTACTCTGATGGTATTCTGTAGTACTTAGCCCCTTTGACTTTGATGTCAGACAGTAGTCAGGGTGCCTACATACAGTGTATATCTTGGGCTGAAGTACCAGTAGGCCTACTGTACCATGTGGGTCATTCCGTGAGGTTGGGGCACAATTTGTGACGGTGTCCTTGTTACATGAGTAACTTTTTACCACCTGTCATGAGTAGCAGTGGGTCACTTACTCTGTAAAAGTAACACACACCTCCGTGTTCAGCCTTGCAAGATGTACATGTACATGTATAACAATGTCAATTTGGAATCCACATACAGGGAAATATGTAACACGTAACAATGGACACCGTCACAAATTGTGCCCCAACCTCATGGAATGACCCATGTACTAAGAAGTACACATAGTACATGCACCTGAAACAAATAGGCTGTTGAACTTCACAAACTACCGTACCATTTGCTGGTACTAAGAGTAGTGCACATGTACATGTAGCTTAAGGTGAGGTTAGGGATATGAAAGCAATTACCCACACTGCCCTTTTTTTTCCCCGTCTGAGCGATGTAAATCTAAACTGTAATTTTAACTGGCCCCAATGGTCGGATGGGAAATGCCAACATGTGAATACATGTGCAGTACATGTACATGTACCTGTACCGAAAGTATATGTGTGTAATTGAACAAGCTTCTCCCTATCCAGGTTGTCCTGGTGTCTCGTGCTATTTTGTCAGCTTGATTTAGTTCAGATGGTAGTGTCCGCAGTCCTGCTGGTGCAGGCAGTAGAAAGGAAAAGCAAAAAAATCCTGGGTTCAGTTACTTTCTGTTGTTTATTCTTTTCCTCCTGTGATGTGTATACAAAGCTCACTTTTGCCTTTTGTATTGCAGTTTTACTGTGAAACGTGCACGTACATGTGAATATGCAAGTACAGGCTTTCGGGTGCTTGGACTCTGTTACCAGAAACTTTTGGTAAAACGGTTACCCGACTATGGATATTCTGCTCTGCACTTCACACGTACGTGTACATATGCATGTCTTCATGCACCAATACTTGCTGTGTCTGTTTAAATGCAACCTTTCATTATTTTTGTGTGTTTTGTTCACAGGAGACTCATCAAGAACTACCAACCAAAGAAAAAAGAAAGTGAAGATGTCACGTAAGATGACTTGTCAATCTGCGTTGATAGTGTCTGCCTTGATATTGTCTGCCTTTTTGTTGTGAATTGAGTAAAAACATAAATTTCAGTGGAGTTTTGATAGTTACACTTTCTCTTACATGTATCTGTAGGAAAAAAAGCGACTATCAATCCAAAATCACACGCACACAAATCTGTAAACACTCGGAATTTAACAGTAGTAAAGTGTTTAATTTTGTGGGGATAGGTCTGGGAGGTCCATAACAGCTGGCTTTTGCATTGGGTTTGGCATACCTCAGAAAAACAAAGTCCAACAGCCTCTGTGCACAAAGTCCCTTAGATGGGTGTTTAACTTTGTGTGAATGGGGAAGGTTAGGGCCAGCAACCCTTGGGGGGGTTCGGGTTAAATGACTGATACTAATGTCATTTCAGAAGAACTTTTAGTGAGGAAATAATTGTCAGAAAAGAAATAACCCAAGTTAAATCGTGGATCATCCTGTCTGTGTTATGTGCATTGATTTGACATCTGACACCTCACAGATTCACAGGTTGCGAAGTATACAATAAATGTGCCATAGATGCAGTGGTCATTAATACTTGCCTTAAAAAAAAAATCAGGGAAAAATACTCAGCGCTCCCCAACATGTTCATGATGAAAGCTCGTTTAATCATCATTTTACCTCATCTTGTTATTTTTGGGAGTTATCAGAATACAGAACACTTTTTGTGGAAATTTCCTTCCGCATACAGTATAATCATCTTTAAGGGCAGTTTGGAAGGTTATTGCCCACTTTTAAAAAGAAAGCCAATGATAAAGTACACAGGGTTTGCACGCCTCCTGGAAAACCTGGAAAATCCTGGAATTTTATACCCATCCTGGAAAGTGCTTAATCAAAAAAAAATTCCTGGAAATTACAGTAAAATCAATATAACTTTTAAAATGAGACAAAAGTGATCTAATTAACTGTGACAGAAAATTTACCACGATCGATCCATCCCCGCATACATTGTCGCTATGTTGTTCATTATTCAATCATGCGTGGTCTACACACTCAGAAATACACCCTCGTTCCATCAGCGCTACGAGCAAAATCAATTTCGAATGGTGCCCACAATGTGATTCTTTCCATTTTGCATAGGTGGGGCACCAAGAATATCATTACTAAATTTTCTTGTAGTCAAATTTTCCCTTCCTTTTTTTGTAGCTCCGTGGTGAACTGTCTGTTGTGGCTATAATTATGAAATCATTCTCTATCAAATTTATGTACTTTATTTAATACATAATTAAATAATCTCCATTCATTATAAACTAATAAAGCTCAGTGTAAAAGTGAAACTGTGAATGTGTCGAACCTTTTTCATTAACGTTGAATGAACAGGGGAAGTTTTTTATGATCGCCAAGTGTGTGTAGGCCTACCTTGTGGTCCAGTTGTCACTGTCAGAACCTGAATTAGTCCCGGAAAAATCAAACTTTTGACCTGGAAAATCCTGGAAAAGTCCTGGAATATTTTTTTTCACAAGGGTGTATGAACCCTGAGTACTGATTTGACCCCTTATTCCAGATGCATGCATTTGTTGGACCGATGACCTTTTACCCATCCCTCCCTCCTCCCCTCCCCACCAGATTCTCCACGGTCACATCCTTCCGCAACATCCTGACAGAGCTGCAGGGCATCGCCAACCAGCACGACCTGATTGCCGAGGGGCTGATGACCCGGGTCACCAAGGAGGTGCAGGCGGCCATCGCTGAGTTCAAGGCAGAACGCAAGAAGCTGCTGCAGGATGCGCGGGCCAAGGAGGCGGCTAAGGACCGCTCCATCAAGAAGATGGATCAGGTGAGGGCATCAACCGAATGCGTGGATGTGGTCCGGTCATGTTTACTGACAGTCAGTGAAAGGCGCATCGATAAATTATCCTGAAAATGGTAACGTTACGAAAAGCGTAAACTTCTCAGTGTCACACAGTGAGTGCTTATTTGGAGGATAACCACACTCTGTGCTTTTGGTCAGGTCATGCTCCTGGAGTGCTGCCTGGCAAAAACCAACACTCTAGAACATGAAAAGTGAAAGTTTCCATTGACTGTCGGTGTAGGTGATCCATTTGAATCAAAATGAGTCACAAGTCACGTTTGAGTTTGATGCTTTTTTAAAAAAGAAACTTGCAAAGTGTACATCGGCAGAAACGGAAACGTTCAACTTTTCTCACCCACATAATATTTGCTTTCATCAGAATTTCAAACTCAGTGAGTGATGCATCAGTATAAAGTGGCCAGCTTTCTCTTTCCAATCGGAATTAAAGCGATATTACTTCCCACAAATGAGTAGAAGACTTATTACGTTGCATCCGGTCTCTTATTTTGATATGGAGCTCTTTTGCACCGCAGGCAAACTGAAACCGCAATCTTTCCAGGAAGTGAGTGTACGACAGAATGCCCCTTATCAAGCAGCTGGGCTTCGTCACTGACTTTGCTTGCCTCATTTCATCTTTTTTTTTTCTGACCAGTCAAGAGAGACGTACAGACAGGCCTACAATGCATTCATCACTGCCAAGCAGCAGTTTGAGAAGGTGGACAGTGACCTTTCGCAGAGCCGGGCACAAGTGTCAAAGGTAGTTGAGAAAAAGTATGGAAAGACACATTTTAAGGAAAGCTCAGTGGAGTATTTTCTTCCTGTGCAATAGAAATTTCTACGTGTGAAACGTTTTGGCCCAAGCCCAGGGTTTGATTTGAGTCGGAAATAGCAAGGAAAATGGCAGATAACTTGCCGCGGATAATATTCATGAAGTATCTGAAAGACATAAGAGTAGGTAGTTGTATACCATAGATCAAGTGCAGAAGATGGACAGACAATAAGCCTCCTTGCGAGTTAAATTTGAATAAAATCTGGTACACTGGGTTTGTTAAATTCATGTGAATGTAACAATTTGAATTCTCCGTACTCAAGACGCTGTTGCTATACCTTGTGGTTCGGGGCAAGCTTTTGCTTAGTTACATATTAAGAGACACTTCACACCAACACACTGTTTTCAATGGATAAGAAGGGCACAAAGGAAGCCGTCAATTCCAGAGATGGTGGTTGCTATGCAAAAGCTTGCCCCCGAATCGCGAGTTATAACAACAGTGTCCTTAGTCTGTGGAATTCAAATTGTTATGTTAATGTTCAATCAGATAACTTGGGGTACCAGAGTTGATTCAAATTTAACTCGCAAAAGGCTTATTCCCTAGACGTTTGCTGTTTATAGTCGTTTGAAGTCGTTCTCATCTTCTGTTTTGGAAAACTAATGCACAGAGCAAGAACAACATGATGCAGAAGGACCAACATCGGGAGGACTGCAAGAACGAGTACATACTGCAGCTGACCCAGACAAACAAGGACCAGCATGAGCACTACTACACCGAACTACCCGGCGTCTTTAAAGTAAGTGACCCCGATCACGCCCTCGAACGCTCGCCGTGCTGCCTGTGCATCCTCCGAGTCAGTTTGGCTCCATCCTGCAAAGTCCTCCGAAACCTCCTGGTGGATTCTGAAAGGTGAAGGAGGGATGGCGCTGACCCTTTCTGTGGTAGACGTGACAAAAATCCTGCAGCGGATGATTTCTGTTGGCCTCAGTTGATTCAGTTAGCGACTTGTTTTATTGCACGACGTTAACCAGGGATGTACCAAGTACGTGTATTTGCCCATGAGAGAATGGTTTATTTTCAGTCTTGAATGGAGACTATTTTTCACGCCCCCATGGAGGCTTGCCGTGTTGAAATGATGGACTTTTGCTTCCCTTTGAAACAGCATCCTCCAGAGCCAGGATAATAATTTTATTCGAGTCGGGGTATCCCAGCATGTTTTGTAAGAAAAAAAGTTCATTCAGGTAGAGATGAACAAGTTTAGTGTACTCCAGCTGTTGTAGTGGGTTGGATTCGGAAGGTTGTGACGATTGGCTGCTGCTGGAGTTTGGTTGAGGTAAAGGGACTTGTGCCACGTACATCCTTCTGGATCCTTTTTCCAAATCTCTCATCTGCCTTAGGCTTCAGCTTCATCTAGAGTTTCCCAACACACCTGTTTGAACTTCATATAAAGTTTGGCCGTCGGTGAGTCTTTTGTTACAGAGAAAAATTGGAGAGCCAAAGGACTTATTTGTGATTGAGTCATTCAGTGAGCAGCGATTCCCACAGGAGGAAAAACAAACTGCAGGATTGACGGTGAAACTTGGTAGACACTGGAATGTATTTGCAGGAAATGTAGTGGGGTGATTCACGTACTCCGCGACTGAAAACCTGCCGCATGTGGGTCGAGGCACTTTCCGGCTGGGCAAGGTGTTGTCTATTTTTAGCTTGCTGCCCGGGAGGCTCTCCCGAGACCCCACTCCGGTACTTCCTGTTGTGTTTCACTTGAAACCTGCTCTGTCAAAACATGATCAGGTTGATGCCATTTGTTGCTGCAGCTGTCAGATGCCTGTCAGATGGCATGACGAGAAAAACTCTGTATGTGTTGGTGATGTTGGGAGGTGCGGTGTTGACTGTTTTGTGACAGGTATGCCGAAGCGTTATGTCATCTAACAACAGGACAGGAGTGTACTCATAGCTCTGTGTACAATTGTTGATATCACACGTTTTCTTCAGTTTGGGAGTAAGTTCCACTGTTTACTTGTTTTTGTGTAAAGCAGCTTATTTTGACAATGGAATCAGTCAAAAGTTCTTCGAGCTTACCTTCTTAGGTAAGTTCGAAGGACCTCTTCATTCTTTTTCTCATGCTCTCTCGACCAGGAGTGCCTTTTGTGATAGGACCAAGATTGTGCATTCTGAGAATGTAACAACTACCACCTTCTTGTCGCTTCCACTGAAATCAAGCATTTACATCGTGGTTGTATTGTCGTAGCACATAGTAAGGTGTGTCAAAACGAGTCAAACCAAATGCCCCCTGCATGTTCCTTGAGCTTGTCTTCTGCCTTTTCTTTCCAATTTGCAGAAAATCCAAGAGATGGACGAGAGAAGGATAATGAAGACCAGTGACTTCTACAAGGTGTATGCTGAGTGCCACCGTAGCGTACTGCCCATCATCGGCAAGTGTCTGGACTGCATCACCCAGGAAGCTGAAAGCGTCAACCCGGAGGAGGTACTTGGACTTATCCAAGGGCCCCTGCTGCGTCCCAATTTTGTGGCTTGGGCTTGAATTTACCCACAAGTCTGTGCCGTGTTAGCTGCAGCCTCTTCCCGTAGCATTGTGTGTAATTTCAAGTCGCAGCCAAGAAATTCTGATGCGGCCTCATTTCCCAACGGAACCCTTGTTTTCAGTCTCCACGTGATCATTTCAGTGGGTGCTTCGAGGCCTGTTGGGATTTCTAAAATGATGAAGATTATCACTTGTGATAAAAATCGCAATTTCATGTTAGCTGTTATATTTTTATCCGCCGGGCCTCTTGCCAAAAAAGAATGGTTTGGCGTGTGTATCGCTTTGCAGCCAACATCGCTCCCTGACACAGTCTCGGAGGTGCAAAAAGCAATGATAATGGGAAGAAATTTTTCCACAGATTTTGTGTAAATGATCACCGTGGGTCGGTGGTTGTAAAATCTTACTTTGGAAAGGGCTGTGGTTGCATTATCTTGTCATTTTAGAAAGTTGGCATTTTCAGATCAAAGTAATACTGAGCCTAGTACAAGTGCATTGTGTACAATACCACTGAAAAACAGTTACAAATGCAAAAAATAACCCGTCGTAATTTTTTTTTCTTTGGGTGGTCCCGACAGGACTCGAGAAAGGTCACAATAAAGTACAAGTCCGGCCTGGTCCCCCCAGACGACTTCCAAATGCTGGACCTGGACGAACCAGCGAAGGAGGAGCCAGAGAAAGAGGCGGATGCCGTGTCGGGCAACGGCGTGCCTGCCGGAAACAGCTCGGGCACCGTTACGGGAAGGAACAAGAAGGCCAAGAAGGGGCTGCGATCCATCTGGTCGAAGGTAGGGGGAACATTACGGGGGGAGGTAGCATGGAGAGGTTGGTGGCCAAGTCTCAGACCACCAAACGTGCTGATATCTGTACAATGAAATATGTATTCTAGCCATTTTGATAGCAAAGTAAAAATACCCCCCCCCAAAAAAAAACCACATGATGCCGGGAAAGCAATTATAATTCCTTGAAAATAAGACGCTTAACCTTACATCTGCTCAAGTCAAACTTCTGGTGTTGCGTGGTAGTCGCAGTTCTGGAACTAACACAAATTCGATTTTCTGTGAAAGCATAGGTTTTTAGACCTTCAGTGCCATGTAAAATAGGGACAGAGCCTAAGTAGCTTAACCACAAACACTGCTAAGCAGATCGACATGCTGTAAGCATTAATCAACTGAGAGCCATTCGTGGGCAGTGCGTACTGCTTGAAACTTTGGCTGGTAACCGCAGCTTGTCCGACACATCTTTCCTGCGCTCAGCAAATGCGTGTCCCTGGCAGCTGTGTGAATACGATATGTATTTGTAAACACCTTAAAATTGTATTAATTAAGCTTGAGTGTGCTGGATTGTCAGAAAAATACAGCATCTATGCACACCTGCGTTGGCATTTCTAGCATGCGCTGAATTGAACGAAGCCCTTGCACAGTTGGATGGAATTTCAATGCGGGTGCCATTTTTCATATTAGCTCCTCTCCAATCAATCATCAAATTTACTCAGTAGTCCGTTACTCAACGTGGGGAAGTTGCGCTGGATTCCACCGAACTTGGCAGCTTCCCTGAGCCAAAGAAATTACGGCCATCCAAGCAGCGTTCCCGTTGATTGGGAAATCAAGAAAAATGCCACTGCAGTATTTATCCTGGCAACTGAAATCTGGCTGCAGCCTTGTGGAATTCTCCTGTTGCCTTATAAAAGCCTGTGCCTTAGCCATGTACATGTATTTAGACGTTTTGAAGTATCCTTTGATCCGTTCCCAGACAATGTGGCTTGATAGCACTCGTTCTGATATTACAGTGAGCCGCCTTCTACTGTGCTTTCCCGTTGTCCTTGATGCAACATATAGTGTAGACTGCATGCAAGCTTTTAATGAAGTCTGGAAATGCTCGTAGTCGAGTGCAGCAGGTGATTTTGTACACATGCAGCAAACCCAAGGAAAATCTAACCTGTTACAAAAACAGTTGTGTTGTAGTACCATGTTTGAATTAAAAACAAAATGCCAAGACAATCTCTCAGCGATTCTACTACTGTAAACCAGCATTTTTGGAACTTTCATTGCAGTAGAATTTTCAAACTGTGCCCAAAATGAAAGTTCCAAGACAGATCCTTTATAATGGATCAGTGAATCTCAAAAACTAGTTGCAGCTTTTGTCGCACCGGTTTCTAGATAAATTAGAGATTCATAGACAGCCTCTAAGTGTAACATGGAAGAGCCAACTTAACTGGAGTGCTAGGTTCTGCCAACATTTCTAAAAGGAACAAAGAGAGAAATAGGGAAGCTGAAGTAATGATTTACAAAGCTGGGGACAAGGGAGCGTGTTTTGCCAAATGTAGATCAGTGCAGTTATGTGCAATGTGTGCTTTCCAATTTGTATATGCGCTTGTATTAATATATCCATAATGCCTATCAGCATGCGCTGCTGCCAGTTGGTGCAGATGTACATTCACTGGAATTAGTTTGGCTTGGCCGTTAATGCCTTTGACAAATGTTTTTCTTACTTTTGTCATTTTTTTTAAAATTAATGAATTTATTTTAAAACATTTTTGGGTTTTATTTCGATGGCTTGTTGAGCTCACAATGCGGTGTGAATTAGTCATTTTTACGCCAAAAATATTTTTGGTTTTGTTTTATATTGGATTTAAGATTTTGGTATTTATTATTATGAGTGAACTAATTTCAATTTCTTTTTGCTCCAGAAACTGAGGGAACACTGGAATTTTGTAAATAGGACGGATGAAATTTAGAAATTGTGAACCTTGTCGTGATGGGTGACAGCTAGCCCCAGTCTGTGGCCCCTTTCACTGGAGTAGACACCAGCATCTACTCTAGTGCGGGGTCATAGACTAGGGCTAGGGGACAGCCAGTTGTGAGAAGACACAACTTTCACCCAAAATCTTTTATTTCATGAACATCCATGCAAAATTCACTTGTAAAATGTCTGGAGAGTGCTTGAAACCCCGTCCCACAAACAAACAAACAAACAAACAAACAAACAAACAAACAAACAAACAAACAAAAAAAATACCCGAATAAAAGAACAGAAATCCCAGAAAGATTGATTGAAGTGTGGTGCCGTCAACTGCAGGCGGTAGTAGCAATGCAGAATCTGTGAGAAAAAAAAAGGTTTAGGAAATGTCAGAAAATTGCCCCCATCACACAAATTTGAAACTTTTGCATGTGACTCGGGGAAATTTGAGTATGGAACAAATGCCCACGTGGACACATCAATCTTTGTTATTTATTTTCCTGTTATTTCCAGAATATCAGTGTTTCCCTCTGGAGAGCTCACCGAATCTACTCTTACTTTATTTATCATTTTTTTTTTAAATAATGACTTCTTTTGATGCCATTGACTTGTCATCCCTCATTCCACCCCTCCAATATGCTCCATTCACCCCATCCAACCATCAATTCATCCATTCACTCTTACGTATTCATGCCACCGAAACTCCAAATCCAAAAAAAAAACTAAACAAAGGCGGTCTCGAGTGTCGCACAAGTACCCAAGGTAACTCCTTTTCCTTATCATATAGAACAGTATCTGTAGCCCTGCCTCGGCCATCCCGGGTGACCGGGATGCGCTGTGAATGTCCCTGCGTTTTGATTGCAGCATCTTTCTCGCCTGATGTCCCCTTTATTTTGTACATGGACCTGTTGCGTGTATGTAGAAACTCAGAGACTCAGCTGTACTAACTGTAATGGAACCGTCCACCCATCTTGTTGGTTCTGGTCATGTGATGTGATGTTGCATGTTGACGATGCATGTCGACCCTAAGTAGTAGACCCTAACCCAGTTGATACTAGCAAGCAAGAATGTATTCTGAACAAGCGCTTTGCCCATTGTGTTCCTGTAAAAGTTGTTTTTTAATCTAATACATTTGAGCGGGCGTCAAAGGTACACACATTAAAAAATTCAAATTTCAGTTGGTTTGGTGCAAAAACAGAAGCGAAGCCAAACACCGAATTTGCCAGGGGAAGGTCAAACTTACATGTATTATCAGCTTGGATTTTCTCTGTGAAATTTTGAACCTATTTGGAAATAGGGACTGAAAATTAGCAATTTGTGTAAAATTCGAAGGGGAGGGGAGATAGCATAAGGTTTTGTATTTCAACCACCTTTGCTTTGAAGAGCGGTGGAAAAAACTTTGCTCAAACAGTTATCTCTGAATAGCACTCATGTACAAGACACCCAGGATACCTGTACTTCAGGCATGATAGCAGCTGTACCCAGCCCTCACCCCCCCCCACATGCTGGCTTTTTGTTATTGCGCAGAGTCTTTTTAGTTTGAGCTTGTTTAGGCTAAGTAACTTCAGCGAATGCCAGTGCAAAGTGGATTTGACTCTAGACACACAGGGCAACCGAATGAATATTGGCACACAGGCACATGGAGTTTCAATTTTCTGGATTCGGATGTAGCATGAACTAAGCAGTTCCAGTTCATGAAATAAAATTCTGAGCAAGCATTTGGTCAGAATTCATAAAGAGTAGTCCCGAGGTGAATGGAGGCATCCTCATCTCCCTTCCCCCTCCCCAACACCCAAGCCCCGCCCCACCCGCCCATCCCGTATCCCCCAATCATCCACCCTTCAGCCTTCATCTTTATTCACATTGATTTCTTCTTTTTCTTCTCTTTTGTTTTCCTCCGATCGGATCCTGAACCCCTGGCCGTCTTGCTTTTCGTTTTTTTTTCTCTTGGTCGGTAACCCCCTCGTCTCCTCCCCCCCCTGCCAGGATGACGATGGGGTAGGGCGCAGCAGTATACGCAGGTTAAAAATCCCGCACACGCCCTCATTTAGGCGGAAGGTATATAACCACTTCCCCTTCTATTTTTCTCTCTCTCTCTCTGTTTTTTTTCCTTTTTTTGGACATCACTGCACGCTTCTTCGGCACTGCATTCACATTTCTCATGTTCTTTTCTTTTTTTAGTTCATGGTGTTACATTTTTGCTGATCATCGAATGTTGGCATTTTGGCTTGAAAAGGGAGACATTGTGGCAAAAGCATCATGGGACACGTATGGCCAAATGTATCCAAAGATAATGTATTACTTTAAAACTTGACCATGTGCAACATTTTTTTTGGGGGGGTCCCATTTCCCCGGTGTCTACGCTTTGCCACAACGATGTATGCCTGCACACTTGGCCAAGATGGCAGAATTCGTGGTGTGGCTTTTGTCTGTGTCTTGCTAGAGGCTGGTGCATTTAAGGGCATACGTCCATCTACATTGCGTCAAGGGATGACATGCTCCATTGCACGATGTTGCTCGCTTCAGCAAGTTTTCCAAAACTTAGTAAAGAGTCAGGACATTATTTGGAACTGACCTGTTGAAATTTCCTTTGAAGTTTGAACTAGCCAGACATCTTTAGTCTAACACCAGATGTATCAAAATGGCCCGATCAAACAGCTTAGCTGGGGATTGTGCATTTGGGGGCCCTGTTCCTATAACAGAAGGTAGACCTACGTACTTTGTTTTGATTCACCTTGTTAGTTGACTCTGACATCATGCTCAGTAACTGTAGGGTTGATGTGAAAAGAGGGGAGGGTTTTGAGTTTTGAGGGAAATTATGAGGGGAAACTGTGAGTGTAGTAACACATAGCACATGGTGGATTCAAATTTGCATGGCAGGTTTATCAGTAAGAAAGTCGCACATTCTCTCACAATTTGCAATTCGAAATTTCAAAAAAACAAGGTCAGTCCAGTTCAGAGAGCGTCGCTTTTGGTGTTTTTGGTGGCGTGACCAGTTCTCCACAGATTAGAAAAAAATGACAAAAACTTGGTGGGGGGGTGCAAATGCCCAATCCCTACCTAACTCACCTGTAATCCATTTTCACTTGTCCATGCTGGCTTTCCAGCAGCAAAGGCTTTTTTTGTAGCACTATTGGTGGGAAACTTCTACAATACATCAGTCTACTCTCAGTAAGAACACTCTAGCCCCATCTGCGTGCATCTTCATACATGTCAAGGTACCTTCACAAAAGGTTTGGTAATTCCCACTGCAGTATAATTACAAGTATATGACAGGAGTTTTCAAATGCTTCTGTCAATTGTGTCTTGAATTTGAGTTTTTTTCAAGCCTCTTTTTGACAATGGAATTCTGCCAAACTAGATCCCTTCCCCAGTCATACCCTTAAAGTAGTTAACTCCAGGACTAAGTATGGCGTATCTGACAAAAGTTTGTATTCAGGAAACAATAATTGTAGAAATAAAACGGTTGTTGAGAGACGGAACGTCAGCTATTTTTTCCGCTTAAAGACCCCCTTACTTTTATCACAAGCAGATGCAGCACAGTACAATGTAGGTGTGGATTCCTGTCCCGTACTCACTTTTTGCACTGTGCACATTTACCAAGGTGGCAACAAGTTACTTAGACACCAGTCTGTTTTCTCCGAGAAACCCCAGCACAAGTACACTTACCCGAATTAAAGATTTTGCAACTGTGTCAGAAGGACTGTAGACCAATAGAATTAGAATGTAATTTGCTCCCTTCTATGCAAAAATCCATGTAAGCACCTTTCGCCAGTAGCTTTGCCAGCTTTTCCTGAAAGCACAGTCCTGATTCTCGCCAGTCTTTCACTGCCAGTGTAGTTTTTTTTTTTTTTAAAGTCAGACTATCAACTTCAATGTCTGTCTTACGTGGTCTATTCTTCATAATACGAAAGTGACATATACCCTTACCACTGGAATAATACGTCTATAGACCACTGAGTGCTTTGCTATGCACGTAGCTCAGCAGACAGTTTTGTGAAATTCAAATTGCAGGCACGTTCAGCAGATAGGCCCTTGAAAATTAAGTGTTAGAAAAAAAGGTCAGTAACGACATTGTTAAAACAACATTTCATAGGGAAACATTCTTCTGATCACTTCTGGAAAGATCACTGTCATGTACGTGCAGCGGTCATGTTGCCGAGCAGTCTGGTGCTCATCATGTACATGTGCCAGTGATTTTTCACTGTGAATTCCATCGGGACCTCTAGGACCATGTCAATGATGGCAGCAGTGTAGTTGTTAAGGAGTAGTGCTCATTTAGCCCTTTAATGACTCCTACATTCTACATCAGTTGTATTCTCAGCATTATACACTGTAGGGATTATCTATACGCTGTCACCGTACACAAAATACTAATTCCGGTTTGGACTCATAACAAGTGACAGTGGCATATTTGCATGAAATCACGTGTAACAAGGGTGGAAATAATCTTAAAAATTGTTTGGGATCTTAATTTTTTCTTTTTGTTTATTGTGTCAGCACGGATTTTGTTGCTTTGCGTAGAAATGCTTTGCATGCTGTAGTGTTGCTCAAATAAACTAACTGCATGTTGACATGACTACTAATTCTCTGCTTTGTCCAAGTTTCATCCAATCAAAGATTTCTGGAAAACAACAGCAAAACAGAATGCATCTTTTTTTTTTCTCTGGGCATGAGCCCTCTCTGTATTTTGTTTTTAAAGAGAGTTTTTGCCAAAGTAAACATGTCAGCGAATCTGTGTTTTCTGTGTTACATTTTCCAAGTGTCTTCTTGTACTTTCCTACCCTCTCAGTAACCTTCAATACCTGTCGTGAGCTCAGTTTCTGAGTCTTTGTTTTTCCACCAAAGTTTCCCTCATTTTGTGATGACCTCCTCTTCTCTGCCAGTTCTCCTTTTTGTGCACCTTTCCAATTCCCTGCTCCTGTTTTCCTATTTTCTGTTTCTTCCAGCAACAGATTCTTCGGAGGTTGTCATCCTGTACACTTTCTTACCCTTGATTTTTTTACCGTAGTATTTATTTGGCTGTACCTTGTAGATACTAATTTTATCATAGTCCTTTACCTTTTTTGCTTTGGTTACACTTGTCCTCTTTTTCTCCACTTCTGAACTAACAATTCCTATTTTTTTTTGGGTTCTAGATTTCCCTACACTTTGTGTCTTTTAACGTCTGAAAGTTTCTTCTGTCTAACTTTTCGTTCGCTTTCCTATGTAGAACTCCTTGCTTCTTCACCTTTATGTTTCAGGAAGACTCTTGGAGATTGTTTTTTTTTTTTTTTCATTTTTTTGAGGTCGTTGTGGCTAGCCTGTTGTTCATGGCATTTAGCTTGCGTTGCTTGCACCGCCCGTAATCCACTGCTGCAAAAAGTCAGATTTTTTCTTCTTTTTGTGATAAAGCTTTGAATTCATAGCTAGTTTTGATTAAGTACCAAGCGTTGGCAGCAAACAAAAAAATATTTACCACTTGGCATTGTGGAATTTTTGTTCAATTTTTTGGTAAGTGAAGAGGTTTTCTGATAACAGTCAAAGAGCTTTTGCCGTTGTTTGAGAAACAATTCACAGCTGCAGTTCATTTCTGTTGGGCTGGTAGACCTCATGTGCTGAAGCTGCCAAAGGCTGCCAATGCAACTGACTATTGAGTACATGTGATAATATTGGCGATGCCAAGCACCCATGCAAACTTGCATGAACCGCAGGCAACCACAGCCAAAGTGTCTTTGCCAAAGTTGTTGGTTTACTGTTTGTTTGTTTGGTTTTTGATTTGTTTGCATCAACCGGGGTCTTTTTTGTTTGACAACTTCTTTCCCTGTTAGCCGGAACCGGTAGAAGACTTCAGCCATTTGCAGCCCGCCCAGCAGCGTCGAGAACTCCAAAAGAAAATCGACGAGCTGCAAGGTCAAGTGGACCAGGAAATCAAGTCCAAGTGAGAACTTTAACCCTCTGCTCTCTCTCTCTCTCTCTGGGGATGCCAGTTTTCAGGCAAAAGCCCAGTCCCAGGCTTATTCATTTGAAATGTTGGGCCAATTTCAGGCATTAACAAGTTATGTTCATGCTCCTCTGCTCTGGACGTGAACCTGACTGGCATCTCTGTCTTTGCTCCTTTCAGTCTTCCAACAAACAATTTCTTGGCTGTAGAGCTGAAGCTGACGAAATCTTGCTTGGTTGATCAGTACCCCGGTGTGTTTTGTGGCATGAATGCTGTGCGTCTTAGAATTGGTGTTGGATAGATGATCTGTCTCTTTTTGAGTTAAACACAGTTCTGCCTTTTGACGTGTCAAAGGTGTTTGTTTGTTTGTTTACTTGTCAGTGTTCTGGAGGCTACCCTCGACTTGTAATTTGAAGAAATCGGCTTTAAAAATTGTCATTGTGTGACTTTACTCATAAGAACCAGGGAATGACATACGGCATGCGGGCAGTGGGTCACACATGTGGATGTTGCGCAGTCATGCGACCAAGTTTCAACAGAATGGACACAAAAGCACAGCATCTCTGGGTATTGCAGAGCACTGACTAACGCAGTGCTGTGGGAAGTCTCCTTTTGTTGGGTAAAATTTGGACTGGGATTTTGTGCTGATCAAGAATTTTTGTTGTAACTACCATTCAACACGTGTGTGGCCCAAAGACTGCTAACAAGAATGCATGTATGTGACAAAATTTCATTTGAATGTGCACAAACAATAGCATGTCTGTGAGACGGAAATGCACCCAGGCATTGGTGCAAAGTGGAATGGTGCTCAAGTGCTCTTCAGTAACGGTGTTACATAAGGAGCGTGGTTATCCGTACTGTACATGCAGTGTGGTCTCAATAGGTCAAGATGCAAAGTTGTCAAGAGTGATACAGTCTGACTGCCTTGTTCCCTCGCTTGTGACCCTCCCTCTCCCCTCCCTCTGCAGGGAAGCGTTGCTGAAGATGAGGGAGGTGTACACCAAAAACCCCACTCTGGGCGACCCAGCCACCGTGGAGAGCCAGCTGGCCCTCATCGGGAAGAAGGTGGATACGTTACGGCTGGAGCTGCAGAAGTACCAAGTAAGCGCCACACACTGTTGTCGGCAAGAGTGTGAGTCGGTCTGAGGGATAAAAGCGCGTAGCTCACGGTTTTTTTTATCCCACGGGAAGTGGGAGGCCAAGTTCGTGAATTGCCATCAGAAGATGGAGCTCAGCTGACTCACAAGCTGAGCAAAAATCTGCAGGCTGCATCGTGTTTTTGGCTAAGCCAAGGTTTTCTGGGCTTAGCAGGTCTGACCTACGTAGCAGAAGGTGTTGCTAAATTCTGTTTGAAAAGCGTAAATTTTGCGTCCTGTTTTTTGGCTGAGTTGAAGTTTTGTGCACTTGACAAACTTGGCAATCCTGCGAAATTGGCCAGCCCTCTCAGCATCTGTTCCGTAGGAAGCTGTCCAATCATCAATGTCCGTAGCAGTGTAGAGCAACGTAGACTCACAGGTTCTTAGTACGCAGAGCCCCATAAAACCCTCTTGGAATTGGCTGCCAACTGGGCTGATGATTAGTGCTAGCCTTTACTCAAGGCGCACGTGGCTACCTGGTAGTCTGCATCGTGCTATAGCAGCAGGGCATGCGTTTTGTGTCCAGGTAGCCCCATGCGCCTTGAGTAAAGGTTAGATTAGTGCAGAATCGGTCCCTATTCAGTAAGTAGATCCAAGTTCTTCATTGAGATATTTGATAAGTTGAGCAATATGACATAGAAGCACCGCATCCTAGCTGGCAAATTTGCCCAAATGTTCACAAAGTAGACGTTCCGTGTAGCGTACACATAAGTGCAGAACTCGTCAGTGCAGAAGTTAGTTTAAAGAATATGAAACCATTAGTCGGCAGGTATTCTGAAAACAAGGAATTCACTTCTCTGTAGACAATGTGGTACAGTTTTTTTTTAGTCCTCATCTCATTGTCTCTGCCCATCCTGTAGCTGTTTTGTCAGATCTGTGAATGTCTGCTTTCTATATCACATCCTTTCTGATCTGTGCATGACAAAACAATTTTTCTTTGGTAAATATCTTTTAAGAAGCACGGAAAGGAATGGGCCAAACTGCAGGAAGCTCTGTGCAGCTGACACGCTTGATTATTGTACATTTGTCATTTAAATCATTTGCAGGCAGTCTTAACTTTGATTGGGGACAGTGGGTCGTTCCCCCTCCCCGAAGCTTAATTAAAATCTTTTTAGTGCATGGGTTCTAAACAGATATGAAAGAGATATCTTCACATCTTGTCATTACCTGCTCATTAATTTCACCTGAGTTTTTAAAACTTTCCCAACAAGTTTTGGGTTTTCTTGGATTTTTTTACAAGCCGGCATGGAATGAAGACCCACAAGTTGATGGTTCTTTTTTTCCCCCGTGTTTCCCTAGCTGTGTTTTTGGAATTCTCCAAAATCTCCTCTGTAGATGAAACTGTTACGTCATATTTCAACTGCCAAGGGGTGTCAAAATTAGTAAGGGCTGGACCTTGCTTTACTCCATCCTGTAAAATCATGCTGAACCTCCCAGTGAAATTTGAAGGGTTTGAGACAAAAAATTTCAGCCCTAAAAAAAACCACCAAGTCTGACGTGGTGGCGTTTTCCTGATCACACAATATCCTGAGGTGCCTAATCCATCCACTTCTTTCCATTCTGTGTCCACACAGAAGTACATGGGCTATTCAGCGTATAGCAATAAAGTGAGTAACTCACTACCGTCAGATAGTGTAAGTATGGGGCCCCGTGCTGGGTCCACCAGTCCATGCTTCAAGCCTTGCCTGCTGCGCTGTTTTTACTCCCTTGGCGGCCATTTTTTTTGTCCTCACTTAACGTCAAGGATACTCGCTTTGTGAAAAAAAAAACTTCACCTACGAGATCTTTTTGAGCAGATTAAGCGTAGGTCATTTTACTTTACGAACTGTAGTTTTCAATTCTTCACTTTATTTACTGGGCTTTAAGAAGAGATCTTTTTTCCGTAAAACCTTTCCTCTCATTGTCTCTCTTGTCATCTGTGGGTAAAAAGCTTTCAGTCTGGTACCTGTCTCATCCCCTATGATGTCTCAAAAGCCAAACTCTGGGCTTGCACAGAAACAATACAGAAAGGCTTAGATTAAGTTCCAGGTTCTTCTAACACGAACTTGTGCATTCTGTGTTTGGCCCTCCCCATAAAAGTCAGTGTAAACTGGTCAAAGAAGTTTGCTCAACTCAGCTAACTTCTCACCAGACCTGTTTGGCCAATATTGGATATTTGTTTTAAACCAAGTCACATCATTTATTGATAAGTGACACTCTCATCCAAGTGTTTTCGAGGGCCTAGTCATTCGGCGACACTTCATCCACATCTGTCAGCATGCTTTTCATTTGAGCGTGCTCAGACAACACCGCCTCTCTGTCGTTCGATAAGGAATCAAAGCTTTTCCAGTTTCTCTTGCCTGTATCTATTCAAAACATATCTCTGCTCACTTCATGTTTCCCACTGAAACTTTTTCTCCAGTTTTTCGAAGCTTTTCCATCGAACTCTCTGCTAGTTTATTATTGCAGATGGAGCATTGTTGAAAATGCCAGGAACTTAATTGTAGGGGGACTTATTCGGTGTATTTCTCAACTCCGACAGGGCCTACCGTGGCAATCCTATTAAAAAAAAAATAATACAATAAAAAAAAAGTAGTTGACGGGACATAGTAGAATTGTTTAGATGCATATTTTTCTAGATGTGCTTGTTATTTAAGGAAGTGATTAAAGAAAGAGTTACCTTTTCAAGCAAAGGGGAAAGAAATTTGGCTTAGTTTGGTGCAAAGCTCAAAAGTCAGAGGGAAACAAATGGTCGTCAAAGGAAGCCGGCGCATTCCAATAAACTGCGAGAAATGTTCAGCGGAAACTGGTGTTTTAGATTCGTTGAAGCGGGCTGCCAGGCCTGTTTTGTTTTTTCTCGGCGGCATGGTTTGTTTTCCTTGTGTACCAGCATGTCTACTTCCTTTTTGTTTTGCAGCGTCTTATTGATTTTCTGAGTTTTTGCAATGTTTGAATGTTGTGACTGGTTTCTGTTTCATTCTGTTATGATGCAAATGTTATTTTTGCATTGTGTGAAATAACTGCAGGTCTAACTTTTTTTTTCCCTCTAAGACCAAGGTCGACATATGGTTGAATGGAATCTTTGATATAATCCCCCCCCTCGTGTCCTTCTCCAGTCAACAAATTTCTCTCATCTCATTCCACATTCTCCCATCACGGTCGACGTCCTACACTTCATAAATTATTTCAACACGTGTAGATTTTCATGGTACATGTACATTGTCTGCTTGGGTTTTGTGAGAACAGCGATTGAGAATGAAAAAAAAAACCTTTCCACGTGTTCATGGTGTCCATTTTAGTTTTATGTAGGTATTCCTGTAACTGCATCTTGCATGAAAGATTGACGTCGGCACTTTTGATCATTTCGATTTGGACGAGCAAGTCTGAAGGTTGCCCTTTTTTAGTCTGTATTTTCCGTAGTTCTTGTCAGAGGATATATCAGAACAATTGTGCGGTTTGCTGTATTAAGTAACTCTAGAAACGATCCTTGTTGGTTTGCATGCAAGACAACTTATTTTATCTTCATAGTTCATGTACAAACGGCTCTGGCTGTGTCTAGTCGAGTGGCTATTGCTGGCAGGAACACACACTTCTATTGGAAGTGGCTGTGAGCCATTAGCGTTTGGCGCGGGCCTTTGATGGCTATGATGGACTCTGTATAGGAAAGATAAGTGGCCTGCTCGGGTCAAATGAGAAAGGCCACATTGCTTGCGTGCAGTGGTTTGCACGTGCCGACTGCGTGGGGTTCGTGTAGCAAGTTTGCTGCTGAATGTGTTGCGTGATTGCAAGGGAAGAGCACTTCCTGGGCATACTCGCACGGCAGCTTATCGGCACTGAGTTTATCTGTAATAATAGTGATAGTTCTCTTGTGCTGCACAGGGCATAGTTACACACAAACTCTACGACGATCTTTACAACTTGACAGTCTGATTTGATTGGATGAACCTGGACCTGTGAATGCTGACCCTCAAACCTTTGGAGTTTGAGAATGTCCCTCATGTCCAGGCTGAAGCAAAAAAAAAAACATTTTTGTGAAGTGTCCGAATCTGAGACAAACTTTATTAAACGTGCAGAAAATCTAATACCCGGAGTTTGGTGCTCGCAACCAGTCACTAGCAACATAGATTGCATGGTGTTTTGGCTGGTAACCGTGTTAGGTTTAAGCTGTGTTGTTTTGTGATTAGAAGTTCCATGGCATGAACCCAAGACTTGAACCTCTCTTTTAGCTGTTGAGTTTTTGTGACATCTGCTTTGGTTTTCTTGTGCCAGTTTATAAAAAAAGTTCACAATACCAAAAAAAAAAGAAGAAGATTTGACAAACGTCAGATATTCTCAGTGTTGCTTTGGTGTCTAAACACTGCGGAATATTATTTTTACTCTCTTTTTTTTTTTTTTTTTCACTCGGACCGCAGAACTACAAGGCTGTGGCTGAGGGCAAATCGATGACACCGCAGGGCACACCGCAGGGTACACCCCAGGGCACGCCGCATGGCACACCCCACAGCACGCCCATAGCCGACAGGGCGGTCAGCACCAAGGCAGCCTCCAACCTCAGCCTGGGGGAAGCCGGTTACGAGGAGCAACAGCAGGCACCGGAGTCTAACCAGTCCAGCCCCTCCAGGGAGCCCCCACAGAACAGTGACACCACGGACGTCGCCTTGTCTCCCGGTGAAAGTGTTACAAGGTCGGTAGTCTGTCTGAGTCCAAAAGCCACTTTTGCCCAGTAATTTTGCTGAAGTTTTCATTAGATAAAGCAAAGAGAGCTCTGTGTTTCGATTGGTCACTCAGTGTGACACTTCAATGAAAAATGGAAACCTTGTGGGTGGAAAAATGCTGGAGTTTTTGGTCGATTTCCATTATGTGTGGATTCTTTTGAAGGTCTTGTATACTACAAGTGGCTTTGGCAACGTCAGAATCATTTTGCTGGATTGAGTCCTGTATGCACCTCAGGATGTACTTACGTGATGTTTGAACCACACACATCCGATTCTAATTTAGAACCGTTTGTCCTTGGCTTGAAGGGCCCTCCACAAGGAGGGTGGAAGCCTTTTGAGTCTGTGTTTGAATAGTTTAGTGGGAGTTTCATTCCACTTGTGTCAGCAGAGTGCAACACAAGAAGGGGTGTATAAGCGATGGTACTCC